AAGTAAAGAAATAAATAAATAAATATATTAATAGATAAATAAATAAAATAAAATAAAAATAAGAAGGTAAAATGGGAAAGGGGCAAACCAACCCCAAAGGAAGAGTTATCATGTAAAGATTGGAAATATGTTGAGAAACAGGATCCAAGTAAAATAAAACACCTAGATAAATGGATAACAAAATATGGATTTGAGGGCCGACTAAGCACTCAAAAAATAGCCATGCTAAAGACCGAAATAATCACAAAAAAACAAAAAATGATCCCAAGAAAAGGGAAAAAGAGGAATACAGTGACATTGGAATTTTGGATGAAGATGGCAGGAAAGAGAGAGGAAGGGGAAAGAAAGCGTAGGAAAGAAGAAGAGCAGGATGTTTGAACTTGTCCTGAGGGACGGGAAAGTTAAACATGTAAAGGATTTGTAAATGAAACTAGAAGAATGTTGTCTGAAAGCTGAAGAGATTAAAGACGAGATGGATAAAGTGTGTTTTGGAAACTGAAATAGATTGTATGTGCAAGATGTGTCAATCCAACAACTTTCCCTTGTGTAAATTGATGTGGTATCTTGCTCGTAGATGGATGATTGGTCGGTAAAACTCAAGTGAGTGTAATCAATGGAAAAAGTATGTAGGGGAAGAGCGATGAAAAAGAAGGTTTTTGTATGTGCACAAGATGTTTTTGTCATTGAGATGGAAAAAAGAAAAGAAAAGGAAAAGGCAATTTGCTTGCCACAAACTGTATTTAATAAAAGATCTAAATCCTGCCACTTTGTTACCACTCCCAGAAGAAGGAGTAAGACATGACTGTCAGGAATTAGCCGAACAGACAGCAAAAAGCAGAACTGACCTAAAAGACCAACCTTTAGGAGGAGGGGAAGTTCTATTTGTGGACGGGTCGTCCAAGAAGAATGACCTAGGCAAAACGCAGACTGGATATGCAGTAGTGACTCAAAATAAAGTGCTAAAAGCTAAACAACTACCTTCACATCTCTCAGCACAAGCTGCTGAGCTCATAGCACTGACAGAAGCATGCAAATTAATGAAAGATAAAGATGCGACAATCTACACTGACAGCCAGTTTGCTACAGTACATACCTTTGCACAATATTGGAAGAACAGAGGCATGGTGACCTCGACTGGGAAACCAGTAACACACGCCACCCTGTTGAAAGAACTATTACAGGCAGTTCAGTTACCCAAAACATTGGCGGTATGTAAATGTGCAGCACACACATCAGGGACAGATGAAGTTTCCCTGGGAAATGCTTTCGCAGATAAGACCGCAAAAGCGGCCGCTGAAGGACAGCTCGAAGTGTTGTCTCTGGAGGAAGATAAAAAACTAGATGATGTAATACTAGAAGAAATGCAACACCAAAGTCCACAATCAGAGAAAGACACTTGGATAAAAAATGGAGCAAAACTATACAAGGGCACATATGTATGACCTGTGAATAAACCTATCCTACCAAAAAATTTATACAAGTGGGCGGCTATATTGAGCCATGGTGTAACACATGTCTCAACAGGAGGGATGGTAGGACAGATACATCAATACTTTACTACCTATGGCTTTAACTCTTATTCAAAAAATTTTTGTAGAGCATGTTTAACTTGTGCAAAGCATAACCCACAAGGAAACCTAAGACCACGAAGGGGCCGTTTCCCCACAGCCCAATATCCGTTTCAAATAATCCACATGGACTTTATAGAATTAAACCAAAGTGAGGGGAAAAAGTATTGTCTAGTCATAGTTGATGTGTTTTCAAAATGGACTGAACTTTTCCCCACAAAACACCCTGATGCACTAACGGTGGCTAAAGCGTTGTGCAAGGATATCATACCAAGGTATGGGATCCCTGAAAGAATATATAGTGATAACGGAACTCATTTTGTCAACCAGATCGTCAAAAAGGTTGGAACAATGTTCCATATCGACTTAAAAAATCACTGTGCTTATCATCCACAAAGTGCAGGGCTAGTGGAACCGGGAGACTGGGTGCTAGTAAAAAGTATAAAGAAGAAACACTGGCACTCACCCAAGTGGGAAGGACCCTATCAAGTATTGCTAACAACTCCCACTGCGGTAAAAATAGCAGAAAGATCAACTTGGATTCATCTGACCCATTGCAAAAAGGTCATTTCGGTTGAAAGCTCCGATAGGGGAGGTGAGCCAAAGACTGATAATAGGGTGGATCCAGACGTGTAGAGACTGGATAGACCCGAAAGTCAGTGAAGATTTTATAAGACACCGAACCCAGTAGAGGAGGAAATATTTCAGCCGCAATGACTCCCAATGGGTTAAAGAACGCTGTTCGAGGTTGGATGGTGACACTGTTCCTAATTCTAACCTTTCTGCTTGTGTGGTACTTATGGGAACCACCGAAGGAATGACCAACTAGAAATAAGACTCTTAATCTAACACAGCAAAATACAACCCACAAAAGAAGCAGGCGTAGCACAGATCATGGGTGGGATAGCGTACCTTGGATAGTAGAGTGGACATATGATAATGCCATCCGTGTAACTGTAGCTCCCAACACCAGCACTGTTCTAACCTTTCCTATAAAAAACCTCAAGGGATTTTGGGGTAACAACCAGCCGACTCCAACTACAGGGGAAGGAAGGGAATATCACTGGTGGTACTTAACCAGCAATGTTTTAGATGTAAGTTGGAATACTCTAATCACTGACGAAAGCCAATATTGGGCACCAGGGTCGGAAACGTCAGCAAAATATTTCAAGGATAAAATAACCTTAACACACAACGGTGCAAGTTTAGGGTTAACAGTATCCTTACCTGCCGGTCCCTACCCTGTTCCCAACGCTACCTTAAACGGAACGTCATGTTTTACATTTTTATTGTGGGCCAGACACTCCAGGATAGATCCATATTACCCTTGGTGTGTAAATAACACCATGGAGCAGAGTGATGTGCCAATAACCAATAATTATACGGCAATCAAGGTCTTTAAGGCTGAAGGGAAAGATGTCGATGAATGGTTTAGGGTTACTACAGGAGTTTCGGGACAAAGCAACAATTGGTTACTTATGGTAGAGCAAATATGTCTAAAAGAGACTGTGTGGTGTGCATGAATCCTAGGCCACTTCTGCAAGTAATCCCTGCAATAATACCACAACAGTGTGTGGTTGAAGTTATGAACAAAACAAATCCAAATTCCACATGTAGCAGCTGGGATTCTGTTTTTCCCGTCACCAAGGCAACAGCAAAGAAACCTGTGTTCTCTAAAAAGGTGGCACCTGGTAATTTTACATGCGTTAACATGACTGGTAGTGGCCAATATCTAAGTAATCTCTCTGAATCTGAGTGCACTGAAGGCATAATCACAACAGCCAATTTCAAGCCTGTGTCTCGAGGAGACATATGGTGGTGGTGTGGGGATGACAGGATATTTGACAGCTTCCCTGCAAATGTAACAGGATTGTATGCCTTAGTGACTGTTACCTGTATCTATATATCCCATATCAGTAAAAGACTTAACAAAAAATCTAAATGCCAAGATGCCCCAACAGTGGCATCTAAAGAAAAGAGCAGCGGATGGCGATCAGACAACAATCCTACATAAATTGATGCTATTGGGGTGCCAAGAGGGGTACCTGACGAGTACAAATTGGTTGATCAGGTGGCTGCTGGATTTGAATCATCAATTTGTTGGTGGTGTACAATTAATAAAAACGTAGACAGAATAAATTACATCCACTATAACGTTCAGAAATTGGGAAATTGGACAGAAGCTGGGTTCGAGGCGGTACATGGTCAACTAGCTGCAACGTCACTCATGACTTTCCAGAACAGAATAGCGGTTGACATGCTCTTGGCGGAAAAAGGAGGAGTGTGTGCAATGTTCGGTGAACGGTGCTGCACATTCATTCCTAATAACACTGCTGCTGATGGCAGCCTCACCAAAGCTATAGAGGGCCTTCGAACTCTAAATGGCAAAATGAAAGACCACTCAGGGGTAGATACCACGATGTGGGATTCTTGGATGGATGCGTTTGGGAAATATAGAACTCTGGTATCCTCTGTGTTGGTCTCAATAGCAGTATTTGCTGCTGTCTTAACCTTATGTGGATGTTGTTTTATTCCCTGCTTACGTTCATTGTTAAATCGTCTTATTACCACAGCCATCTCACCCATGGAAAACCAAATAGCACAAATGTATCCACTATTAGGTAAAGGATCTGATGGTGATACCAATAGTGAGGATGACGATGCTGAAACGACGTACTATGGAGTACCTGACCTACTCCCTAACCCTGGAGATTATGTGTAAAGTAATCTCTCAGGAGACTCTCTGGGTGTAAGCATATTTGTGTTCATAAAAATGATCTTACAACTGAAAATCTTTTGAAGTGGTTGCCTAAGTGATATGAGAATTTGAGCAAATATGTGATAAACAGGAGGGAAATGTTGGAATAATTGTATATATGAATTTATCTCATATTTACTAATTAACCATGTATCCTGCTTTACAGTCCTATAATCATGCATATAGTTTGTCATATGATAATAACCATGCATACAGTTTGTCTTGTGATGAAGTTGTGTTACAGGGAGTAGCTGATAAAGGGGATCACGATGCACAGAGCAGACTGGAGCCTGATTGTTCTACTTCTACATCATGGGATGAACATTTGAACAATGTATCATCAGGCACCCGTCATATTGCTTTTGTGTGATTCTCAGTTCTTTAAGATAAGCAATGACTTGTAACTAAGGAATGCCTGGAATGCCTGGCGTGATAATAAAAAGAGAGGAGACGGCGGAATATGCTCAGAGCGGGTTGGAGATTGTAACTGAGCATATCTCTGTCCGTTCTCCTCGCGAGTAAGAAATAACGCTCTTGTCTTTCTCTTCTTTGTGTCAGTATTAAATGTCTTAGGTGGTGTAAACCTGACAATAATTATAAGGAGAAACAAACGCCAGTTTATGTGTTTCTTTCGGAGTAAATGTGTGTTGGGTTTTTTTGTGTGTATGTGAGACCTGATAGCAGTCTTCTCCATGGCGTCAGGTGAATCAGGGATTGGCAGCTCATCAGCCAGGATCTCTTCAGCACTGGAAGAGCTGATCAGGATTCCTTTGTGATCAGTGATACCAATGCCAGCTGTGACAGCAGTGCATAATGCATTCTGGGACCGTGAGCCTGAATATACAAACAAACATCCTTTGCTTGCTTTTCATTTCTGTTCAACAACACCATCTCATGATAACAATGGCTTAATTTCCAGAGCTGAACTTGAAATTGAGACAACTGAGACTTTGGTGAACTCACGTGCAAAGTGGGCCAGTGGACAACGGTTGCTTTCCCCCGCCTCGTTGGCAACTGTATAGAGAAGAATTAAAATTTCTGTCATTTAATTACCTCAGTAGTAATGTAAATTAGAAGGTTAAAGGATTATGTATGTAAGATATAAAACAATCACAATTCAACCCTACAATTTTCATTTATTTGGGACTGTGTTGGAGTGTACAGATTGTGTTTGATTGACATCTCCCACCCTCTCCTTGTTATGGTGTAAAGGATTTGTGGACCCAAAGGCAGACGAGAACAAAAAGCTGGTTGGTACAAAATGTAATTTAATTACAAAAGATAAGCAAAAACTGAGGAACTGGAAAGCAGAACTTAGAATGTCCAATATACTGGCAAAACTCAAGAACATGAGGAAAAATCAGGGGGATTGACCAGGAACAAACATTAGCCTCACAAAAGAGAAACTGACAAAGAAAGAGGGGAAGACAAAGACTTAAATACAGAAGGGAGGCAAGGGTAATTGAACACAGGTGAAACACATTAGGGCAGGGCAGACAATCAAGACAAAGAAAGGTAAAACAACATTAGACACACAAGGAAAGTTACTTCAAAATAAAACAGGAAATAAACCAAAAGTCCAAACAAAGAGTCCAAACACGTTCCAAAAGTCCGAAAACAGTCAAACCAATCAGGACACTCCTATTGCACCTGTTAAAGGGGGACAACCTGCACCTTTATTATCCATACTAGTACATTCAGTTTCAGTACTAGTACATTCCCAGGATACCTGTGCTCCACTTCAGCCTATGCAAAGGTCTAATCAGCCAGATACTGTACCTTAAAACACTTGTGAGGGTGTGCAGGACTGTATGTGAGTGAATTGACATATTAAAGCTGCACTCTTAAACTTAACTTGTTGGCAATTGTAAATAGTAACCACATATCCTATAAGGTTTCATCCAGTTTATTTAGTATTCTTGGTGGTTGTGATATTTAAAACAAAGGATACGATAGTTAAAATCACCACTAAACCAATTAAGATTCTGAAATAATGTTACACCTGAATACTGAAGAATAAGTAAATTAATGTCTTCTGTAACAAAATAAATACAGACAGATCTAAGACGCAAATGGACACCTGACACCTCAAATTTTTGATGGAAGGCACCCAGAGAGAGAAAAGGATGAATAGGTACAGTGTGTGTGTGTGTGTGTGTGTGTGTGTGTGTGTGTGGATGGGGAGTACATCTGGAATCAGTAAAGGAAGGAGATAATGAACAGCCAGATTACACTCTGTGGCAGAGGCCACTTCATTAGTGATAATGGCTCCCTGAGCTCAGCACCCTAGCAACTGACAACACACACTGACATTTATTTGCACCAGTGAAAATTATGTCACAGTCATTTCCTGTCTCTTCCGGTTCCCATAGAGACAGCAACCTGTAAACACAGACACACTTACACACACACATACACACACACATACACATGCTGTAAAGTTCAATGAGTCATATTCTACAAATGTGACTACAAACATATACCATGTATGTATGTATATATATATATATATATAGTAGTGTTCTGAGACAGTTTCAAACTGTTGGTGGACACATAGACCTCCACAAGGCGTGAATTCCAGCCCTGTGCGGATCAGCCAGCAGAGGTATTCACACACATTTTCAAACTCTCTATACTTATGCATAGTGCCTGCAGGCCTCAAATCCACCATCATCATGCCTGTTGTCAAAAAACTTCTGTTAACCTGTCCCAATGAATGTCGGCCAGTTCCTTTTACTCATGCCCTTTCAAAATGCTTTGAACAACTGCTACTCACCCATGTCAAAGATACTGTCCCAGCTGATCAAACAAATTGACTGAGGACGCTATCTGTGGCTATCAATACAGCTCTCTCACCTGGAAAGACACAACACCTACATCAGGGTGCTTTTTGTTGACTACAGCTTGGCTTTTAATACTATCATACCACACACTCGTACTAACTCCTTGCATAACTAACTGGATACTGAATTTCCTCATCATCTGCCCCCAGTATGTCAGACTGGGCAAACACAAATCCCTACACTCACTTTGAGCAATGGTGTCCCCCAGGGCTGTGCGCTAAGCCCCCTTCTTTATGCACCCTTCATGCATGACTGTCAACCCATCCACAATTCAAACACTATTGTTAAATTTATGGGTGATATCACAGTTGGAAGAACACTACTGTCCAAAATCACTGTATGTTAAAACATTAACATTTCCCTCTTTTTATTTCCATTTGGGCACAAATGAAAAGTACACAAAAGCACTAAAATATGTGGACAGGGGTGGCTACTTTTGCCATATAATGTATTACAGAGGATAAAATTGAATGACTTGAATGGGCCCCCAGTTTATAAATTTTTTTTCTTTTGGAGCAAAGAAGGAAGATAACCTAAACATGGAGCAAATTGTACCAGGAAAGTGAGCACCAATTCAAATATGATAAACATTAAGTAAAGAACAAAAACTGTTCAGCAACACAATAGCACCAAGCTCTTTCTCTCTCTCTCTCTCTCTCTCTCTCTCTCTCTCTCTCTCTCTCTCACACACACACACACACACACTGTGTAACAGTCTCTTACCGATGGTGAAGCTAAAGCCATCAATGCTGAAAGTGGCACTCCGACACTTTTTAAATCCCTGTTTCTTCGATGTTGGTTCTGTCATTGCAGCTCTTCATGTGCACTCCTCTCTTTCTCTCAGTGGATGAGTGTGGAGAGAGCAGAGCACTGTTTCCCAGGTGAGGAGTGAACACAGAGGCTGTTCCCCCTGAGAAGCTGTAACCTAGGCAGTGCTTATAGTCCTGCTGAAGGCTGAAGATGCAGCTGAGCTTAGTGCAGTTATGTTCAGGAGGAATTCTACTGCCTGAAGTATACAGTATATTGTATGTTTATACACACAATATACTGTATACAGTGAGGTATACAGTGCATTCAGAATTATTCAGACCCCTTCAATTTTCTATGTTGCAGGCTTATGTTGCATCTTCTCTTTATCAATCTACACTCACTACCTTACAGTGACAAAGTAGAAAAAAAAAAAAAAAAAAATTACCTCAAGTGCCTCCCATTTCTTTTGATCATCTTTGAGACATTTCTACACCTCGATTGGATTCCACCTGTACTAAATTCAATTGATTGGACAGGCACACACCTGTCGATAAAAGCCACTTTTTCACCTTTGACAAACTGTGTGTTTCGACCACAGGAACCAGGGTCTAAATTTAGGTCTGGGGTAATTGATCTACCCCCCAAAAATTCCCTGGTCGGGGGGGTAGTACTTTCCAAAGGATTGGGAACTTTGGGGGATGTGGTCTGCAGCGCTGAACATTTCTGACTGGTCGAGTACTCACTGCATTATATATCACCCGCCATATTTAAAAGCCGGTAACAAGCGAGCGAGCAAGCTCAACATTATTTTCCACACTGCAATACAGGTATGGGAGAAGGTAAAAAAGGGACACGGGACTACAAAAAAAATAAAAGGACCACAACAAGTGGTGGCTAGGGTTGCCATGTGTCCTGTATAAAACGGGAATGTCCTGTATTTGAAAATAAAATGCTGCGTCCTGTATTGAATCAATAAAGTTCCAGGTACTTTTTGGTCGAAATGCGGCTATAAGGTCTCGCAGCTCACAATGCATATCAGAGCAAAAAACAAGCCATGGGGTTGAAGGGAAAGCCTGCAGAGCTCAGTGACTCGATTGTGTCAAGGCACAGATCTGCGGAAAGCTACAAAAAGATTTCTGCTGCATTAAAGATTCCAAGAGCACAGTGGCCTCCATAATTCTTAAATGGAAGATGTTGGGAATGCCTGGCCATACTGAGCTATTGGGGAGAGGGGCCTTGGTAACAGAGGTGACCAAGAACCTGATGCCTGAGCTACAGAGATTCTGTGTGGAGATGGGAGAAGCACAATCATCACTGCAGCACTCCACCAATCTGGGCTTTATGGCAAAAAGGCCAGAAAGAAGCCTCTCCTCAGTGATAGTTTGCAAAAAAGCAACTAAAGGACTTTAAAACTGTGAGAAACAAAATCCTTTTGTCAGGCCGAGACTCAAAGCAGGACTCAGATGCAGAGATTTTAGATAAAAGGCTTTTATTGAATTCACCGGAGACCTCGGACCGAGTGACAAACAAATGGCTATAAACAAAACTAGACACTATACTCTGACTATTGAGAAACAATAAACACTCCAAAAGGAGGGAAAATAACTCAAATCAAAAAGAAACAAATAAACACAAAACGCTCCGTATGGAGGAAAAACCTGTCTATATAAAATAATTTGGCTACAAACAAAAAATCACTCTTGAGGAAAAAACCAAGGACTATGAATCTAAATTATGGCAAGAAATAACAAACAAAAAATTACTCTCTTACAAGGAAAAACAAAGGGCAATGAATCTAAGCTAGGATAAGAATTAACAAACAAAAAATCACTCTTTAACGAGGAAAAAAACAAAGGACTATGAATCTAAGCTATGGTAAAAATTAACAAACAAAAAATCACTCTTGAACGAGGAAAACGAAGGGCTATGAACTTTAGCTAAGGAAAAAATTACAAACAAAAAATCACTCTTCACTAGGTACATACGGCTTACTATGGCGATTACTATGGCTGTGGACATGGACCAAGGCTCTGGTGCAGGACAAGGACAAGGACAATGACACTCTGGCACAAGACAAGGGGAACACAGACTATTTAAACACATGGAGGGAAATAGGGGACAGGTGGAAACACTTAGGGCAATCAGACTGAGACACATGAGGAAGAGCAAGTGACCTGAAACGAGAGGAGAATTACTTTTCAAAATAAAACAGGAAATGACAGGACAAAACAAACCCAAGACAAGACAACCTCACCACGGTGTGACACCTTTGGTCTGATGAAACCAAGACTGAACTGTTTGGCCTCAATTCTAAGCGTCCTGTCTGAAAGAACCCTTGATGGACAATTGGTTTTCTTTCTGGAATTGTTTTTCCTTGTCGAAGAAGAAAGGTTCAACCTTATCAAACTAATCAGAGGAGAAGAGAAGCAGATGTGTTGTGTCTTCCAAGTGGCCTATATAGATCTGTGATGCACATGTTAATCATGCACGTCAAATACTGTTTGATGTTGACCTTTTGTTATCTTGCCCTCTTCCTCTTCTTCACCATCTGCAGGGGCAGCATCGGCTCGCCTTTCTTCACTGCTCATACAGCAACAACTTTTCTCTTCACGGCTCTCTTCTCTGCGGGCCAGGTTGGAGCTGACTGCTGCACTCCACTCTCTCAATAGCAGTAATGCGAGAGTCTGTCTCAGATTAATCAAGAGTGAATAAGTTTAATTTAGTTTGAACAGATACAACACAAAGTCTGCCAGTTGATTTTTACAAGCAACAGAAGCCACGAAGCAGCCTTGGCTGCTTACAGAGTTGGTGTCTACTAAAATATTTACATGCTTTAATGTAAATGTTGCAGCGTGAGTAGTGACAGGAACTAGGGAAAGAGATTCATATCTCCTCTGTGTTAGCTTCTTTGCATCGGGTTTCTATAAAATCCAAAATAGCGTTTAATATTCTCCTTCTAACCTAAGCACCATCGTATCTTAAAGCACTCATGGTAGCTTATTATACCAAAAGAACACTACTCTCAAAATGCAGACTCTCTCTCTCCCTGTGTATTTATATCATAATACATTTAAATCAGGATAGACTCATTTGTGTAAACAAATGAACTTTAATTGCCATGTGCAAAACAAGACAGAAAGTGAGAGATATGTCTTTGGCGATTAGACCCCATTGTGATTTCATCATATGTGAAAAAGGGGTTGAGGCTGTGCAAAGTATAGGAACCCCACCCCCCACCCCACCGGGGTCTAGATACTGGTAGTGGTCCTGGCTGGAGATCTGAATGTGATGAGGAGTGATGATGAGCTTGTCCTGACTGGATATGAAGACTGCAGGTGGATGGAGTGGAGGAGGTCGCAGCAATTTGCACTGGATATGAAGACTGGAGGTTAAAGGCGTGGAGGAGGGTTGCAGCAAACACACTGAAATGACAGTTGACAGCAGGGAGGAGGAGAGCAAAATGTAAAAGTATGACAGGGACAACATGATTGGCTGGTTGAGATTGTGGTGAGATCTGATTGGTTGCCAAACACCGGAAGTCAGCTGATCACGAGGAGTGGGGTGACAGAGGGAAAAACAAGATAATTGTGAATGGAAGTGGAATAGAGATAGTGTTCTGGATTGAATTTACGCTAAGCTTCATTTCAGCTTCAATCAGGAGAGACTCATTTGTGTAAACAGACAAACTTTTATTGCCATTTGGAAAATGAGAGCGGAAAAATCTGAGAGTCCAAGTCACATGGACACCACGAACAAGATGACGGCGGATTAAGGACTCTCCACTCACCGACATGTAAAGTTACAAATTATCTTTGAGTAGAGGCTCGTACTTTTTAAAAATTTTCCTCAGTTTCAGAAAATAAACAGTTGGCATTGTTTAGGCACAACTAAAGCCAGATGTCAACGTCGAAGTATTTCAAAGGCGCAGGCCACGTGCAGACCCGGAGAAGCCCCCCTCATGATGATGACGGCCTTACAGGTGACCTGCCACCAAGCCTCGACAATTTGTTTGCAGAAATTGTTGAAATTAACACCACATTGCTGGGAGTGGCGACAGATGTCTCAACTATTAAGGAGATACAATGGAGCTGAAAACCACAGTGATGGTGTTACAACCCGGCTCACAGGGGAAAGGGAAGCAACACAAAACTTAGTTGGTAATAGGTATAAAGTTGTTTATTGTATCATAAATTGTAAAAATAATGGTTTATATGAAGAAAAAAACACAAACCAAGGAATGGGGCCGGTGGGTGCTGTCCAAATCAAAAACAGAATATAACAAAAGGAGGACTCTTTATGAGCTAATCAGTACAAGGGATTATCCACTTGAAAGTAAAAGGAGAAACAAAACTTGCTACCAAGGCCGACTAAAGAACCAAAATACACCGGAAACAGCACCCCTGCACCTAGTGTTTTTAACAATACAAATGGCTACGAGCAGATGAACCAGCAAAATCAGTGTCAGTATTAAATCTAAACCTGACCCCACTTCCAGGCTTTCAAGATTACCAGCAGTAAGTTACAAAACAAAACTGTGGGACAACAAACAACCACTCTGTGCTATCATAAGGTTCACACACTACAAATGTTCTTACAACAAAGAGGCGAGCTGCCACTAACAGTCAGCTGCCACGACTGACAGACGGGCGGGAGCTTTATAGCTGGGTGTTCCTGATTGGGCGGCAGGGATTGGCCAGCTGCAAACAAACCGCACCAATTAGGCTAGAGAGGGTGGAGCATCCGTGTGGACAGGAGCAGGCCGCTCGGCAGGCAGCCTGGCAAACAGAAAAATTAAACACAACAAAAGTGGCCAGAGTAGCGGCCGTAACAGATGGCGATGCAGGAGAGATTGGCAGAAGCCGAAACATGCATTATGCGCCTAGAGGAGGCCTCAGAGCAGCTACTCACAGGCGAAGATGAGAGAGGCAAGCTAACGGATGCTATGTGGGGCCACATTCAAGCTCTGGAAAACCACAGTAAAAAGGAATAACGTGAGGCTGGTAGGCTTGAAAGATGCTTTCAGGACTAATGGCACATTGCTGAGCTGTGTTCAGAAGA